CCGTCGCGAATTCATCATCAGAGACATTAGCAGAAAACAGTAGCAGAAACGGTCTGGGCTTAGTAAGTATGATTGCCAGAATTAGCACTCCTAGCATTGGCATATTATCTCTAGCAGCAGCATCCTAGCCTTCGCAGCCTAAACTTAGGAGAAACTGGTACGGTTTTGGTAGTAAACACGACCGAATCACCATCTCGCACGATATGACAGGTCTGCACAGCACCTTAGTAGTACCGATCAATTCATATAGCAAGCCGATGCCGCCAAGGCAGATCAAAGGTAAACAATTTGCGAACGCAAACGGCGACTCGCCATGACCTCGCAACTTCACAAAATCAGGTGGACTTAAAAATACAATGGTGAGTTTTTTTCTCATAAAGGCGACAGAAAACTTATAACGAAAAAACTGTCTTGTAGAGCCACCTAAATATTCATTACCCCTGCCCAACTGCCTAACGAAATTGGCGGTTAAACATTTAATTCTTGGTTAAAGACAGTAAATAAATATGTAATTGCGTTGAAATTGATCAAAGAATATTAAATTAAAGCCACTTATAGTAGTTTCAATTAGCTAAATATAATCAACTACATCAAAACAAACTCCTGTCGCCCAGGCAACTGATGCCTATTGATGGAAATTCATCCTTATATTGGTGGGATTTACCGAAAAAAGATAAACTCGACCTTATATTGACGGAATCTAACGAAAAAAGGAAACTCGGGCTACTGAAGATATTAAAGCATGTTATTGTTATAAGGCAACGGCAAGTAGGACCTCTAAAGACAGTCCTACCCTCAGAACGAAATAAATAGGGGGGGGCAGTAAAGTGAGAAGGGGGCTTACCTGGCAGAGACGGTGCTGGTAAAGGAGACGCAGTCTTTGACACGCGACAACGGTGTGGTGCCCGTAATGTCTTCCCACACGGCCGGTGAGGTACCGCCAGTGATACTGCAGAGCAAACGCAGCGAGTTCATGTCACCCGGCTTACCGGTCAGGGCCGAGCGCGGTAGGGGTATGGTGAGGGTAATCGGTTTGTGGAACTTACGACGCCGCGGCTCCACGGTGACAATGGGTGAAGCCGTCACCCGATTACCCACTAATCGAGCCACCAGGTCCGGTGG